CCGCCGACTGACATAGGCGCCGACCTGGCCGCCTGACACAAGCGCCAGCCTGACAACCTCGAGGAGTTCATCACCGTACCCTGGTTCTGACGGGATATGACGTCTTACCGTTTAAAGGCTTTTCAGCCACCTAACCCGCGAGGGCACCACTATATAAGGACTCCGACCCCGAAAGCCAAGGAGGAGGAAAAAAAGGATGGTAACCCCCGCTCTCTAGTTCTCTCATTTCTCTCCAAGCCCTTTGTAATCAGAATGCTAACTTAGGCATCGGAGAGTCCCCGCCGGGAAAATACCCCCGGGTCCTCTGATTCAGTCTTGCAGGTCCCTCAGCTCCCGCCGCCTAAAAAGGAGAGAAAATCACCTAACGCGGAGGGTAGTCGGGTTGCGCTGCACCAGGGAGCTCCACCATCCTCTGAGTTGCAGGCCGCCTAGGAGCAAGTCAACTGACGAGTCCACCAAGCAATTCGCCACTAGGCAGTTCGCCCCCAGGCAGTTCGCCACCAGGCAGTTCGCCCCCAGGCAGTTCGCCACCAGGGAGTTCGCCGCCAGGCAGTTCGCCCCCAGGCAGTTCGCCATCAGGCATTTCGCCCTCAGGCAGTTCGCCACCAGGCAGTTCGCCCCCAGGTAGTTCGCCACCAGGGAGTTCGCCCCCAGGCAGTTCATCACCAAGTAGCTCTCCACCGGGCAGTTCGCCCCCAGGCAGTTCGCCACCAGGGAGTTCGCCCCCAAGCAATTCGCCACCAGGCAATTCCCCACCCGGCAGTTCGTCACCAAATAGCTCTCCACCAGGGAGCTCGCCACCGGGCAGTTCGCCACCAAACACTTCTCCCCCAGGGAGTTCACCACCAAGTAGCTCAGCACCAAGGCACATCACCACCGGGTCAAACAACGAGATACTTAGACAAAAAATTTATACATCACAAAAAATAGTACGTGAACAAAAACAGTTACATCAAATTCCATTGTCTCTTTTCTCACTTTTCGGATTCTCTTCTCTTACAACTCTAAAGAGCTTTCCTGTGTTGGGTTTCAATCGAAACTTAGCTAGCTACAAACAGAATTCTTCAAGATTGCACCAACACACTTTGTCAAACAGATCCGACCGTCCGGCCGGTTCGATCAAATTGCGATATGGCCACGGCAGCCATATATGAATATATGGTATCATGCTTCTTCCACCAACATTGATTGAGTTGGGGTAGATTGGTCTCGCCATTTGTTCTCTTCAATGGTACCCAGTACCCACAACTTCTCACATGGGCATGCATTTCCTCTTACCTACCGTAAGCCAGAAGTCATAATCTCATAATCATAACTCGGTAAATAATAGAATGTCTTGGACTTAAAGAAAAAGAAAATTAGTTAGCACAGAATGGAAAAAAAAAAAATCGAATCAATCGATAAACAGCAGAGGAATAAAATGCCTTGGGTTTGTTTTATTTATTTATAACAAGGTGTTGAGATTTGGGAAACCAGTCGACATAAATAAAGATATACAAATCTTTTTCTTCTTTCTTTCTCCATCCAATTCGGCAAATCACAAGTACATTCATTCACGGGATGAATTATATTTAATTATTCCTCTTACACCTTCAAATTTCCACCACCTTTTTCTAGCAGCCACGTGTAAATTAATAATTATCGACCTATAAATTATATATATTATATATATTCTATCTACCATAATGATATAAGTAGGGAGGGAKGGAGGGAGGGTGGGTAACTTTAATTTAAACCGATAAGCCAGCTAGAAAGGCTACGCCGGTGGAAGGTAGCCAAGAGGATCCCGATATGAATTGGCCCACCGTGAATTTACTAGCCTCCACGGTAGACGTGATTACCCGGTAACCAGGCCATTTGACTCGAAGGCCCACGGCGGCGCCAGGACCGTAGTTCATGTACTCTCCGTAGTAGAGGGTGTCCAGTGCAAAAGTGGCGTTCCATTCCAGCCAGCCACGTGGATGGATGTGATCTCCCATGTAGGATAGCAGGTAGACGGTTCTGGAATAGAGCTTCCATGGACGGCCCAGATAGGTGGGGAAGTAGGCTTTGGATGCCTCGAGATCGGAGGTGGCTAAGATGCGGCAGTTGTGGATGGAGATTCCGGTGTTCTGGTTGGGATCCTTGCGGTTCTGGGCGGTGATGGTGTTCTTCTGCTGGTCCATGGGCTTCCGGGCGTAGATGGTGCAGTTCTGGAGCACCACGGCGGCGTTTCCGAATATGAAATCCACGGTACCGTAGATGTCGCACTCACGGTAGAATTGGCGTTGGGAGTGAACGTACAGTGTGTCCTGGTATCCTATGATGTTGCATCGATACACCACCGCGTGGTCCGCTCCTACACGCAGTGCCACTGCTTGGTGGTTCGACGGTCCCGCGTAATTCTCGAATGTCATGTCCCGTGCGATGAATCCAGCTCCAGTCGCCGCTATATATATTTATCAATATCAAATCAACGGTAAGGATCAGCCTAACAACTGGCAATAAATAATATAGTGGGCTTTTTTGGGCCTCTTAGGCTTGGGCTTTGTGGGTGAACTTCTACTTACCGAAGGAAGCGGTGTGGAAGGTGGTATATTTTTCGAAGACGTTTTTTCCACCGGTAATGACGGTTTTACCCCTTCCGTCTCCTATAAACATCAAGTTGGTCTTTTTCCTGCCCACCTTGAGATTACTTTCTTCGTACCTGGAACAATTATTATACATGTCAGTTCTCAGCCAACCCAATTTCTTAAAATTAATTAACTATTAAAATCACAAATTAATCTGTGACCACGGTCTCTCTCACATAGAAGAGGAGTCCAAGTAGTCATAATCATGCATACATACAGTAGTAATGGTAATGGTCGGTCTCCCACTCTCCCTCGACTCAACACCACTAGTCCACTTAGAAAGGCAAAGGATCAAGTATGAAAGAAAGTGGTGAAGTAGGTAAAAGGTGGTCTAATTTGTATTGTCCTCGAAAGGTAATTAAAAGGCTAGATTAGGGGTATTTATGTTACTTTGCAAAATGATAAAAAAAAAAAGGAAAAGTTCACTGCTTACGTTCCTGCCTTGACGTAAATGATAGTACGGCGGTTGCTGTGCTCCGGAACGGCCTTTATCGCCTCGGTAATCGTCTTATACGTTCCGGTGCCGTCCTTGGACACCACAATGTCCGCCTGAATGGAAGAAACCGGCATCTCCAGCAACCTCCGCTCTCTTCTCGTCAGCCATGCCGGCAGCTCTTCCTCCGTCTGGAAGCTGCTTTCCGTCATCAATCTCCGCTTGTTTTGTATCGGAATACCAGAGAAATCCTCGTTCCCACTTGAAGACGCGAAGATCGCCAGACAATTGCTCACCAGCTCCGATATATCGCTCAACCTATTCTGCATCTGATCCTTCACGTTCCCGCTCACATCACTCAGTCCTTCGTTGCAGGTGTCTTGATTCGTCAGTGCCGCGCTCAGCCATGTCATCACGTCTTCGGTGGACCCTACCCCCTTCCCGCCACCTTGTTCCGGTGGCGCCACCGAGTTTAGCGACAGCGACAGCTGGTCCATTGAATCCTCCAGGAGCTCCAGGCAGTCCTCGTACGCCGACCGAGCAAGCGCATCCATTGCTACGTTAGCTATCTCCGATACGCCGTACAATGCCTTCCCAACTCGTTGGAGGGTCATGTTGAAGGAGATGTGAACGAGGTCTCGGTCGCCGGCGGCGAGAGCCCCGGGGAATTCAACCAGTGAGTTGATGCATAGATCCGGGTACCTCGTCTTGCTGCAGGTGCGGGAGATGGCTTGGGTGGGTCGTTTCCGGACGGGGGACAAGGCACCACTGGAACCCTTCGTTCGGAGTCCAACCAGGAGTCCAGCAGAGATCACTGTGGCGACGACGAGGAGGACGGAGAGGAGAGCTAGGACAATGAGCTTGCGCTTTCCCCTCGCCTTCGGCGGTGGCCCGGGCGTGGGTTCTATTTCGAGTTGGCTCAGAGTAGATTCAGGAATAGAACCTACAGACTCGGATGATCCTAGGCGGCCGTAGCCCATTTTCTTCTAAACCAAAGATATAACAGAAGCCAAAAGACGGGGAAAAGTGTTTGTGGTTTGGTTGTGCGTGTTTTTGGGTTTGAGAATTGGAGAAGGAGAGAAAAATCTGGGGAGAAAGTGAAATGAAGATGGGTTGTAGAACAGAAGAAGCTAAGACTATAAGATAGAAGAGAATTGTGAGAGAGGGTTTTGAGGGATTTTATATAAGTTAGTGAGGTTTGTGACTTTGTGAGGGGATGATGGATTAATAGCAGTTGGTGTGAAGTCTATGTCCAAAGGCATGCATTAGCTGTCCTCCTCTACTCTACAAACAGGAGCGCTGAGGAGGAGACGAGGAGACGAGGAGACGAGGGGCACGGCCCCCACTCGCCACTCAGTCACCACTCACCAGTGTGTCCGTCTTTGGACTCGTGGTGGGTGTGACCCAGACCCGTGTCACACACTCATCTGGGCCTGGGGAAAGCCTTTAGAATTAGAAAGCTAAGTAAGAAGAGAAATACATTCTCTTGGTCTTGGTAAATACTAAATACAACTCGGAGTGAGTATTTCTCTTGTTCTTATAATATTATTAATTATGATGAGTGATGGATGACGCAAATAGAAATGGATAAGAGAGTGGAGAGACCAAGAGGACGTACATAGAGAGATCAGAGATCCCACAGCAAAGGAGAAGCTTACGACCAGAAAAATCCAAAATGCCTGGCTGATAATAATCAATCGATGAAAGATTAAAAGATGGTGTGTTTTGGAGCGGATTAAACTTAGAAAAAGAGGAGAGAAAGAAATCCACGTTGGAGCGATTCTGTATTGTACTTTGGCTCGAGTTATAATTTGGTTCCAGATTTTAAATTGTGATAATTTAATATTCAAATTTTTAAAATATGACAATTAAGTATTTAAATTTTTAAAATGCGATAATTTAATATTTGTCATTAATCAATTTGTTAATCAGTTATTCAGTTTTTTTGTTAATATTTGGATGATTGTTAAAGAGAATTAGATAATATTCAAAAGATATTTTAATTTTTTAAATATCACTTAACAACTAATTAATAAACTGATTAGCGACAAGTACTGAAAACTAAAAATCGTCACTTATCGGAAATTTTCCTCATTGTTTTTTCTTCTGTATTACCCTCTTTTTTTTTTTTCTGTTTCAGCAATATGCAGTGAAACAACTTTAACGAGTAACGACGACGGATGGGATGAGTCCACCACCACCTGCCCTTGAGGTTATTATAGTAAATTGCAAAATGGATGATAGATACGTGAGCAGACAGATAGACTGTACTTAGATGAGAGATGCGAGAGAGAGTCCACCGACAGCACATCGATTCGTCGACGTCTGAATTTGAAAACCCCCAAAACTCTACACTTGGGATTTGGGAGGTGCCTCTTATTCCATTTTTTTATTATTTTATATTAGGAAAATTTTTTAAATTATTTTTATGATTTAGCTAATTACTTTAAAGTTTTCTTACAATTATCTAAATCTAAAACCTTTTTACCATTATGGACTATTTTATCAAAAAAAGAATACAAGTCAAAGGGGAGGGTAGAGGCACAGAGACTGTGTACCAATGGGACAACCCCGCTGCAAAAGGGAATGAGGGGAGGGCAGAGGCATAGGGACTGGAACGCGATTCCGTTCTCTCATGGAACATGGCCTCCGAAGCGGGATCTGCTCCTCACCCTCCCCTTTGACTTGACTTACATTTACCGTCTTTTGAAAACATTTCTCGTGAATAATGATTAATAATTACGCAAGATGTTCACAATGCTGAGACGCCTGTGAGGCGCCACATGTGAAGAGCAGATCCGGTTTCATGGCTTCCTATTGACTAGAAATGGCCTCCTGCACGTTTACAGTTAAATGCCCAAATCGTGTTCCCTTAATTTTTTTGGATTGAACTCTAATCTCGGCAAGTGTTCAAACAAAAAGATAGAGAAATATTTTAGGTTCCGTTTGATTTGCAGGATTAAGATTCTGGAACTGGAATCAGAACGGGCTATTTTGATTTTAATTATTTGGTTGGACAGAATTAGAATTAGAATGAGCTACTTCGATTTCAACTATTTGGTTGAAAAAATAAAAAAGTCCTACTGATTCTAATTCTTATTTCCATTCCTATCTGAATCAAACAGATTATGGGAATAAACTATTTCGATTCCAATTTCAACTGCAAACCAAACAGACTCTTAATTCATCTTTTTGATTTGGCCTCTGTAGCTGATGGATAAATGGAGCGTGCTTAATTAACACTTACATGGTCTTCAAGAATCATGACTATGATTAATTTGATTTGAAGAGAAGTCCATAAACTCACTCTATACATTTCTAAACTGGAAGTTTCTAGCCAATTAATATTCTGAATGGGAAGACCGCTTCTTTCAGAGATAGAGTTAGGGCTGTAAATAAGTCAGATCAGATCCGATTTAAATCTGATACCAATTCGTTAAGAGGCGAATTCAGATATTCCTCTTGATCTTAATAAATTGGATCGAATCGAAAAAAAAATGATCCGTTAATTTAACAAATCGAATTTGAATATTAACTGATCTGATCCATTGTGACCCGATCCAATCCCTTAATTATAAAATATTTTATATTATATATATAATTATATATAATTATATTATATAAATAATATAATATAAATAACATAATATAAATATAATTCTAATTGGGAATCAGATATCCGATAATATATTTGAATTCGAATTCAAATCATGCTTTTGAAAATCCGACGAATCCTTATCAGATTCGGATCAGTCGAATTTTCTTGATCGGATATGCCGAGCACTGGTGATTTCTTGGACCAAATTATTTCATATTCAATGCTTGCGTCGCGAGTTTTCATTTTAATAAATTAATTAATTAGATTTGATTTCTCACTTATGAGATGATTTTTCATGTGACTAGATTTATATGAATTCACAGGCGTAATTGACACGTGGTGGGCTTACTGGAATATATGAACAAATAGCCAACCCAATGAGTCCTCAACTTGGTGGATGATTCGATCGGCCACATCATTCATCAATATGAAGTTAGAAAATATATATGAAAGTGTTGTCAAGCTTTCTAATGGAGCTATGAGGTGAAGGGTTTTTTGGCAGCATCTTGTTATTCGGACCACTTCCAGGTGGTCGATGATTCAGAAGTCGAAGTGGAGGATTTTTGTTGGATGAGGACTTGAATGTCGAACTGGGGGTAAATTGGGTGTTGAGGTAGGTTGATTGTTGAGTTGGGTAGTTCTTCACATAGAAACGGAGTCTTGCTATGAACTATTCCTCGTAAACAACGATCTTGTTTGACTCATGATCCGAGGGGTATTGACCCAAGGGAATGTTGTACACATGGTTATCAGGGAACTGGTAGTGGGAAGCTAAGGCCTACAGCCTTTCAGTAGTCATAGTGGAAGGGCTGAAGCAATCCGGCTTCCGGCTAAGATGCGAGGTGGATGCCCCTGTTCGGACACCTCGCGGTATTGACCCGACGTGTCCATCATATCCGAAGTGAAATCCAGATCTTTAATCGAACCATTTGCCCCGGTAGGACTGAACTCTTCAACATAGGGTGCGGTGCCCACCTCGGCCCTGGCGGACTCATCGCTCCCATCAAGAAGGCTATCTATACTATGGCTAGACATATCAGACTAGAAGGAAAAAAGACAACAACAAAAGTAGAGAAAAATGAACTCACTGAGAAGATCGTAGGAAGCGAGATGACCTCAGATGCAAGGACAAATGACACTGATCTGGAAGACTTGAGCACGACCTCAACAACTCGACCACACAGTTTACGGCAAGAAAAATGGGCCCCTTCGGCCCCTATTTATAGCCACCATAACCGAGGTTAAATGGCCAAGATTTGCATGATCCAACGACTCCTATGAAAATCGGCTACACGCCACCCAAGGTTGAAATCAGTTGAGCACGCGTTTTAACGTCCACGGAGTTTATAAACGATGTGATGTCTGCGCATACCTAATACACAATCTGGGTCATTTCCTAGTCGAGCCAAGTGGTCATACAGGTCCGACCGAAGATCTGCCCTCCGTACCATCTAGACATCGTGCCAAATCCACCTGGGCTTGTCATGAACTCCCCGCGGCGGGTCAGGACCTCTGGCACGAGGAGTGGGGGGCAATTGATGAGGGGTGATTTGGCCCGACCTAGTAAGTAAAGGACACGTGGACACGACCTGCCAGCAGGTTGACAACTCAGCAAGGAGAGCCTTGTCTACAGTTCGAGAGCCCAAGTGTTCGGACACCTTGGTACCAAAGCTACTTCGGCACCCGAGTACTGAAGTGACACGTAATCGACTCCAGAAGCTTCTCAGCGAACTCTAAATCTCTCGGGATCACGCCGCATAACAACAGGTCTTATCCTCTCCCCGCCCGGATCGGAAGGTAACAATAAACTTCATTGACTGATACGTTACTCTCCTTCTAAAGTTGAATAGTTCCCATCTACGTGGGCCGAGGATCTCGGAGCCGTTTCGTGGGACCTACATCAACTCAACTATATAAGGGCATCGGCCCCCAAGACCCAGGTACGCGCGATTAAGTGCATTCTAGCTCTCCTGTTTCTCAAACTCTCAACTCGCAAATCACAGTTACTGACTGAAGCATTGGAGTGACCTTGCCGGGTTAGCCACCCCGGGTTCTCTGAGCGACCTACTTGGCAACAAACGTCTGAACTACCCTACAACTAAGAGCATCCAGCTCGCGCACCATCACTATGTATGATTGAGTGCGAAGATAGGGGCACAACTTGGGTGGGTTCCAATCGACAATTTGTTAAAATTTGAATGAATCCGACTCAAAAGCGATCCAAAATTTTCAAATTAGACACCCATTTTGTGCTATAAAACAGTTTTAGGGCATGGCTAAAACAGTGAATCATGACCTTGGATTTTATGGATTTTTGTTTTAGTATGTATACATACGTATATGTACAGAGGGTGGAGTCAAGAAATTTTTATGAAAGGGCCAAAACTTATGAATGGATCATAGGAAAGGGCAACCATTGGGTGAGAAGTGAGGAAAGGGAGAAAACTCACATATTAAGGGTAGGGATTTTTGGACCACATGGGGGGCATGGTTCCCCTGGTCCCCCGAGGATCCGCCCTTGTATGTACATAAATGAAAAGATGGTTATGTAAAAGTATATACATAAATTCTTTCAAATCTAATAAACTCACTCAAGCCCAATTGGTCCAACCTGACCCTGCTCAAGCCTAAGCCCCAACTTCAGTTGTGTTTGGTTGAGCTTGGGTTGCACCTGAGTTGATAAATTTGCACTTAACCTTGAGTTGAGCCAGGCTTAAACCCGAGCTTTGCACCCATAGGGTTGGGCTTTCAACCCAATCCAACCTGCCCGAGTTGCACCC